CTGTATTTGAACATCATCAGCTACTGTCTTAACAGGATTACATTATCCAGCTATGTTACTCTCTCAAAAACACAATTTTATGGTTTCTGAGCCCACTTTGTTATTTACTAAATCAGTCAAAAAGATGCTACCGTTGGATGGGAGCAGACCAGTCAATGAAGAACGATGTGGGACACAGGTAGAACTGCTACTGCTTGTGCTGGCAAGCGTCTCGAGCTTACAGCTTAAGTTACAGTTAAACAATGATACAGTCTGACATTTACACCAACACTGCCAGTACTGAGAAGTAAGTATATGACAGCGGTAACCTTAGATTTAGTAGCCCATACGCCCAAAACAACTACAGCAGGTAGTTTAGTCAACTAAAAAAACTAGCCAAGACATGTATCTGCACTTGTTACAACAGCTACAACCGAGCCAATCCCAGATGACACTGGGCGAGAGGCAGGGTACACCCGGGGCAGGTCGCCAGTTTATCACCGGGCTGTCAATACACACAAGCACTCACACTCACACCTACGGGCAATTTAGAGTCACCACTGAACCTTACCAATCAGCTTGTTTGACACACACACAGGGTCACCTGACGCACAGTCGAGATTTGGGAAGCACGTGCACTGGCTTCTTTGCGACTCCCACAACACCAATTCTGTGTAGGCTCATGGTGACGTTTTCACAGAGTGCCCTTGAAAAAGCCTGCAAAGATGTGTAGTCCTGCCAAGTTTCTATTTCTGTTTCTATTTGTTCTAAAAGAACCCACTGGAAGGGACACACCATCATTGAGAGACAGGGACATGATATCATTTAAAATGGGTCTAACAGCAGACACCTTCAGATAGTGTCTCCTAGAAGACATTCTGTCTTCTGCTGTTCATATGAAAATTGACATCACGGTACGAAGTGAGTATAAATGTCAGCTTGTCAGTTTTTGAAAGCAATTGTTGGGGTACAAGAATTCAGGGCTACAGGAACTATAACAACTCAGGAAACCTTGTAGGCTCTTGAGGGCACAAAGACTTGAGCCCACAGGACTTTGATTCCCAGCACCCTGGTCTATATTTAGACTGTTATCTGCAGTGGAACACTAGAACAGGGAGCAAACCACACACAAAGCAACAGCACCATCCTCACGGCTCAGGTCGATCATTTTACACAAAGGAACAGAGAGATGCTTGTTAAATAATGAAGAAGCACAGACTGTTCCTCAACACACTGACGGGCTTGTTAGTCAACGAGCCTGAGCAGAGGTGTGAGTTAAAGCTATTACTAAACCTGCTATAAACATAGCTGCAAGTGGGGTTCATAAAAGAAGAATGCAACCCTAAATCACACAGAAACTGCTTTAATAACGTCTGTTCTAACTTGTGGAAACAGGCCTTTTGAGGTTTCTAATTTAACAACATCTGAAGAAGCAGCAGCAGCAGCATGGCTGTCGATTTCTGTTTAGTTGATGCCAACTTCTTTTCTGCCTGTGACGTCAGTAACTCCTCATAGATCTGCAGCCTGGGATTGCGTAAACTTAGAAAGCCCATATGGATTACAATGAATATTTTACAAAATTGAACATTTTTTCTGTCACAAACAGGAGACCAAATCAGAAAATAATCAAAGGGCTAAAATTAAGTGAGATGAGACTGGATTTTACTCACAGTAAAATAATAGAAATTGACAAAACTGACTGAAATCATATTGTGTCTCAGCACAACACACCGTGACGTCAGAAAATATTAAGACATATATTGCTCTCCCTCAACACTGAATTTGCAATAAAATAATGACTGAGATTAAAGTGCTAAGTTTAGATTTAAGGGTGAGGACATGAACCACACTGAGTGACTCATGGCAACCACCCAGTTATAGGAAAATACTGAAAAGTAATCATCCTAATCATAAACAAATGGCAGTCAAAGAGTTTTTAATGACTAAACATTGGCGTGGTCTTGATCTCTCTTTTCAGGATAAGGGTGAAGGCAAAAAGCTGCCAAAACAAACCAGATTTGAAGATGTTGGCTGTACGGGCCTGGCAGATGAAAGAAACAGGGTCAATTAACCATCTGCTGATGTTGACTGCAAATGATTTGATGCCAAAAATATAAAATGATACTTTATTATTTGAGGGCTAGGATTCAATTTATGAACGCGCTACAATACCTACATATATACACGTCTGACATAGTTGTAAGCACCCAAACTTCAAACTGAGAGTGAGCCTTCTCAGTCATTTTATGTCAAGTGAGAATAATGTTGCTGAATTCTGGTGGCATCCAATAATGCCTTAACTTTGGATGATAGACAATGTGAGTCTCATTGCTCTAACCGGAGAACAGCAGTGTGATACACTGAAGGTGAGAGCATAACTCAAAACAAGTACAGGGAATGAGAGCAAACACTCACATTCAGTTTATGCAGTCAAATTCAACACTTTATTCACATGTTTAACTGGTCTCAACATCAGAGAGGACAAACAGGGAGAGAGGATGGTATCAATGACATCAACTGGAAAGATTTAAACTAACATTTCATATGCACACACACACACACACACAACCAACAACAACACAATATAGCCAACAAACTAATTTTAAAAATGCTACAGTAAATGTTTTCTCAGCTATGATGGAAGCATAACTACTGGAAGTGAGATCACACTTGATCACAGTCAGGATTTGGTGTTGGATTTCTTCTTTGGCCAGCCTTATTAAAAATGCATCTGCTCCTGTTACTGTTGCACCAAAGTCTCTACTCAGCTTGGCAAATATTTCAGCCCATCGATTAGTTTCTTTAAGTGTGTTACAGAGATAGAACATGAGGTAATAAGTTTTAAATTTAGAAACAGAGTTCTTAGAGTCATCTTAGACTGTATGCTTCCTTTAATACCTTTTGCTTCTACATAGTCATAGTGTAGGTACGAGTATAAATCCCTTGTAACAAGGTCAAAGCTAAAAACTTATCCTTTGCTGTGGACCAAACACTTCTCAAATATCTCTACAAGTCATATTTTCCTCACTGAAAATGAAATCTGTCTAGTTACTATGGCTTGATCAGCCCCTCAACCTCTATTATAATTTTTCTTAAAACCTTAGGTGTCTAAAACGTGTATTTATTGAGCTTGTTCTGGCTCAGCACCTAAAAAAAACGAACTGTAAGCATATGTCCATTATTAATAGCAGGATAAGAGGGAGTAAAAAAATGATCAACCACAGTTGGAAGTCTGGGTGTTGTCAAACACTATCACAGGCCTTTGCTGGCTTACAGTTTAGTGTGTGCTGCATGTGACGGTGTGGTGAGATTACTGCAGTCTTCCTTCTGTGTCTCAGAGAGGAGAACCTGAGGAGAAGACAGTTGGTTTAACCCTCGCTAAACAAGTTGATACAGAAGCTTAGAAACTGAGGCCTCTGTGAGCGATCTCACCCCTTCTCATTATGCTGATGTCTTTCAGGCTACAGGATGGTGCTGCTGCTTTCATTTGGCCTTGATGACAAACTGCCTTTGAATAAAGCTATTGCGAGAGATAGCATTATACATGGGGTACATCCCAAGTATCTTATAAGCGTTGTCATTTTCTTTACTGGCATCTTTTCCTTATGTCTTAGTCCCACATACATAAGATGCAAGGAAAATGTGAGGAGAGAGGACTCAAGGAAACATGATATTAACAACATGAGACGTCCTTCCCTCAGATCCTTCATCTTCATGTCTTCAGATGTCCAGTTGTGTCCAAACAGTAACGGTCTAAAACTTTACAATGGAATAAAACAGAAAAACACAGGAAATTCTCACTTTGGAGAAGATGGATCCAGATTATTTTTGGCATTTTTGCTTGATTAAATGATTAATCAGTTATCAAAATTGTTGTCAAATGACCATTGATCTGCTTATTGAATAATCAACCAATCATTTTAGCTCGACCCATTAAACAAAAAGAAAATGTGTTTGTCACAGGTGAAACTGCAGTAACAATTTAATCAGTACAGTATGTTTTGTGGTCCTTTTTCATATTTCATACTTGTTTGAGCTAACCACTACTGATATCCAGATATTTATTTACTATGGCAGCAACTAAAGATTATTTTCATTAGCAATTAAAATGCCTGAAAATGTCTCACAAACAAAATGCCCTACAGCAAAAAGCGATGAACTAACAAAGTAAAAACCAAAAAGATTCATATTATGATTAAAAATGACAGAGACAAGCCTCAAATCCTCACTTCTGAAGAGATGAAACTGAGGAATATTTGATATTTTTGTTCAAAAATTACTAAAACAATTAACTGATTATCAAAATAATCAGCTAATTCTTGCATCTCTGTTATTTTCCTGCATAGAATAATGCAGTCTAGGAATGACAACACCACTACAGTGGAAAAACCAGAGGGGTTCTGCTAACTGACAATGGTCTTCTTCATCAACATGCGGCTAAACATCCTTCCAGGTCCATTAAGGTAATACTTAGTCATTCACTTCCCAGCCTGGATATTCAAGCCACTTACTCTAACCAGACAGAATGTTTTTTTTTTATCCTAATTTAATCATAACTATGAGTTGAGGATTTCAGTGCTGGATGGTGACATCATCAAGCACTCCTCTAAACCTGTCACCTAAAGGAGATTGATGTCCTACAGGACTTGGCTTGAGCCAGAGCTAAGTGTGGCTGCACCTACCATCTAGTCAGGCTCATTTCATCAATGATGGCTAGCTTCCTGCAGACTGACAAATGATCCTCAGATGATCCCAGATCACCCAAACATATGTTACTGAGAAACCCACTGAACTGATGACAGAGATATCATCATGACCTTGTGATAAAATAGACACAGAGCAAAAAGGATTTTGAAGCTTCAATTGAAACACTTAACCTCTTAACCTGGGTATAATGCCTGTGCCCAGGCAACCCATTCAGTAACCCGTTCAAGTGTGCAGAAAAAACAGAAAACCTGAAGCATCAGCATCACTGGCAGAGGAGTTTCTTATTGTCTGCAGTGAATGATCACTTTGGACTGTTGGTTTACATCAATAATATTTTCAATAACGTAAAATAAGGTAAAGCTTTGAAGACATATGTTTTCTCTCTGTCTAGCACACAAACATAAACAATTCACACACCTTTCATTTGCATTGCACATCAAAATTTGTTTCACAATCCACAAACGTTATACAGAAATGATGCTTCTGCACAATCCTCTGATATCCATTCATTTATCCTATATTTAAGAAATTGAGAGTATTTATATATGGTATATTTTCCTCCTGTGTGCCTGGAAGACATTCATCATCCTATGCAGTACAGCAATGCATAATGGGCACCAGTAGCATAGTTAATATTTTTAGTTTGAATATGAGAGTCATTTTATATTTATTTCTATGTTTTGTTATGCTTTTTCTTACATTCTCATGTTTTTGAGCTTTGAATTGTACTTCTGTGGTAAGGGATGCACATGCACTCACACTACCACAGGAATGCAAGTGTCCTCTATAGCTCAGCATAATATCCTAAATTTCAATCATATTTTTATAGCCTGCTCATGGTAATATTCGTCTTAACAGTGAGGGTATGATATCAGTAGATTTTAGGCATTTTTTCAGGACAGATTTCATTAAAATATCGTTAAAATGACTGATAACTGTAGCCTAAGTGTCTATGCATATGATTACTATTGTCCAGTTTGCTCTATAAATGGAGTTCAGTGTTTGAACTGTATTCTGTTGTTCCTGCTTCACACTCATTTAGACCCATTTTCTTGAATTAAACCACTGGACGGTGAAACGCCTTTTCCGGCAGGACAGGCCCTGAGTCAAACCAGAAATCCACTAAACCAACAGCATCCTTCACACCCATCTACACACATAACATTAATATACTGCCAGTGCATTTAAACATCTATGACGGTTTTACGGTTTCCACAATGAAAACAGCTATTCTAAAGCAAGCATCTTATGTCAATGGTTGTTTAATCTGAAATACTTTATTTGATATTTGCTAATTATTCGCGCTCATAAACAATATCTACAGGACACTGGGAATTTCTATATAATATATATATATATGATCTTATGTGTATGCAGTAATACAGAGAAAAATCTCACCTTTATAGATTTCTATCCGGCTGCTCCACCGCGTCCAGCACCCGCAGAAGCACCACCGCTGTCAAGTCAGAAAGGTTCTGCAACATAACATCCGGCTATGACTTTCAAAATAAAAGCCAGAATCTTAAAGCTAGGAGGAGTCAAGTGTGGAAGGGAGCTATTGTGGAGTAGTCTAATGCCTTGTCAACACTAATGCCTTGTCAACTGGAGATTCAGGTGAATGATGCTAGCGGCGACTAATGAGGAACAGCTACAGTCTAGTAAGCTCACTTCATTCTAACTCGACACATTCAAAGTTTTAAACTTGTAGCTAGTCTTCGGGGACAGTTATAGCTGCCTCACTTGACATCACTTCCAAGTCTGTAAACATAGTTTGATGTGTAAAATAGGTGTTTTTTTCTTAAACTGATGAATTTTTCCAGTAATTAGTTCCAACAATTTTATTTTGAGAGTTTTTCCGGTCGTTCTGTATCTTCGCCATCTTAACGTTTTTATGCCAAAAGATTGGCAGGTGGCCGGGATTTTTCAGGCCGAGTGGAAGAGTGACAGTCTATCTGGCGAATCCAGAGCCGCGACGTAATAGCTTTCCTTCAAACACTCCACTTCAAATAGGTCTACTCGGTCTATCATTTATTATTGATGAGCGCTGCCGAGAACCTGAATTATTGATCAGGAGGTCACCAGTAACCACTGGTGCCGTTTCCACACAGTCCATGATGGATTGAACATATCAATATTATAGGAATAGTCTACTACTAATAGCCTACAGGAGCTATTTGTTAGTTAGTTAGTTGGAGTTAGAACCTATTTTTCTAAAGGTTTGCTTAATTTAAACTGGATTATATATACATTATGACAATGACATTATGACACTGCAGGCTTAAAATAAACCAAAATCACTCTAAAGTACATGTGTATTTTAAAGCACCATAACCACGATTACATCTTAAATAAATAAGTGATGGTAAACACAGCCAGGAGCCCTTCCTATAGGCTACAAACACACACTTGTGCACTAATGCAGGTAAACATGCTTTTATTAGTCTGCATTGTTTTGTCAGCAACAGACACCTGACAGTATCTACTGTCTGAAGAAGGTTTGCAGTAATAAATGTTAGTATAAGATTAACCAAGCTATTAGAAAGAGTCAGTCACCTGCAATTATCAATGTTAATAAATCATGGGTTGTACACTCCATTAGGTCTGCAGCTGTAGTTTTTCTAAGCAGGTTTTGATTGGCTTTTGATCCAGATGTTCTGCAGCCTTAAACGTCTCTCTAAAAATTAATAAAGGAGATTGCTAAAAGAGCATTGTTATGATAAAAGAGCATTGGAATTTCCCCACTGTGGGATCAATAAAGTTCTATCCTTATAACCTGGAAACCAGTAAGTTGTTCTTACAACTTATCTAGCGTTTGTAAATGATTTATCATCCATTAATAAAGCCTTTCATAACCTGTGCCTCGTCAGAATGTGGCAGCGAATATTCTTTAAATTTCATAAATTCATGATAATGACTAACAGACTACTGTACTTTAACCGTAACAATCACTGAACTAGGTCTCCCCCTCCCATCACTGTTCTTTGGAGCTCTTTTCTGGCAATCATTCATCCCAACCAGCAGGTGGCGATCATAAATCCATTATGCTTTATCTAAGTGTCAAAGTTTATTTCCACCGTATAGGTCTTAAGTAAAGGTGAGGTTAGACGTAGCTCAAAAACTTTTTTGGTTTGGGGTAAGGCTGGTATAAAGTTAAACACTGCAAATACAAGTGCTTGTGGTCAGTGATAAGGTTTGGTTTAGATTTAGGATCGAAACATCGAGCGGAAAGCGGACTGAATATCAGCTCAGATACGACTCTTACCGGTTTGTTGCATGTGGCTTTCAGTGTTGTAAAAATTGAATATATAATGTTGTACACTAAGGTCAGTGTCAGCGCTTGTGGTTTGCCATATTGAGAGCGGCAAATGAGCGGTTGCCTACTGCTACATCGATAGGGCCTCCGAGCCATTAACCTTGGTTAAAATCAGCCAAACAGCTAGCTGGTTAACAGCTAAGTTAGCTAACATTAATGTTCCAACCGGGCCAAGCAGCTGGTCAGTGACTACATGAGCTTGGACCTGTTTCAGTCTAAAAAACACCTCCGTCAACTGTGAATGGATGCAAAAACTTTATTCTAATACTAATAGGCCAGACCGAACACATAGTAGCTTCATCACATGTAAAAGAAAAACATACTAGAGCTGAAACACTTAGTGGGTTGTTAAAGAAATAATCCTCAACAATTGTGATAATCATTTTTGACATTTTCCAAGAATAAATGCTGCATGTTGTTCAGTTTGGATAATCAATAAAGACAGTGTTGTGGCGAATATATTGTATAGTGCGTTTTTACACATTTGTTAAATTAGTGCAGTGTAGAAATGTATGGGCCAGAGATTTCTCTACTTAATCAGCAAGTGTTGCTGAGTTTTGTTTATTTATTTTAATCATATGGATGGATGGATTTTAATCATATTCAGTATTTAAAAAAAAAAAAAACTTCCACACAGAAAGAGACAGCTATTTTTCTCCCCCAGATGACAGTTCTCTCTGCGGCCCAAACATCATGCTTCCCCGTGCGGGTAAAGAGTTTCTGGTTCGGATACGGTTCTCCTGGCGGCCACTTTTCCAGGGCCGGTATTTGTTGTTCACCAACACCCTGAGTTGTGGAGGCATGCTGGCACTGGGAGATGTCCTGCAGCAGACCTGGGAGATCCACAAGGACCCAGGTCACGTCAGACAATGGAGGAGGACAGGTGAGAGGGGGGACAGTAAAATTTTGCTCTCAGCCTGGTGTGAAGTTACCCTTCCAAATTCACCAGTATAGTTTTTGAAATCGCTTAATATACTGTATAATATTTGTGTGTTCTGGTTATTGTTTTCTTTTGGTTTATTTCCCCATAAAGGTCGCATGTTTGTTGCGGGATGCTCTATGGGTCCACTTCTGCACTACTGGTACTCCTGGCTGGATGGAGTATATGTGGGCAAAGCTGTGAGAACTGTGGGAAAGAAGGTTATTTTGGACCAGCTGATTGCCTCACCGATACTCGGGATGTGGTATTTTTTAGGTAAGATGATAGTGACACCAATTTGTTTGTCTCCTTTCTCACTTAGTACCCATATACGCCTCAAGATTCATCAGTGTGTTACCATGTTTGCCTATGACACACACACATTAGACTGAGTGTACAGAGTCAAAGGTTGTTATTAAAGATGTTAGAGAGATAAGACAAAAGATGGCTTACGTCAGTGTCACAGATGAAAGGAGTTCAAACGTTGTCTATGATAAACAGTTTGATTTGACTGTAAAGGAGTTCAAACGTCTATGATAAACAGTTTGATTTGACTGACATTTTCTTCATGACTGTCAGACATCTTTTATAAGAGTTCGCCACTCCTCCAGCCTTATCTGAAGTTGAAAGTTGAAACGTGGCCCTGACGTACATCTGACAGACTACTCTGTTTATTGCAGGTATGGGTGTCATGGAGGGACACACTTTATCCGAAGGATTGGAGGAGTTTAAAGATAAGTTCTGGGAATTTTATAAGGCAAGTACACTTCTCAGGGTCTGACCTGCAGATCAGTGTACATCTAGTCAGGTTATCATTCACAAGTTCTTGTTTGTTCATAATCAGAGATAAAAAGCACAATTTTTTGAGTTTGTAACTTATACTGAACATGACCTGTTTGTGTTAGTGTCCACAAGCAGAAAAATTTGAGCAGAAATGTGAGCATGAGACCAGACTTTCCAAACATGAACAACCGAGCTGACCGCATTCTACATATATGAAAAAGCACTACATTCAGATAACATACAGGGTTGGTCCTGTTTACGCTGGGCGATCTGTCTGGGTTTACTGATGCTAATTTGTGTTGTTCTTGCTGGCAGGCGGACTGGTGTGTTTGGCCTGCTGCTCAGGTGATCAACTTCTACTTCCTCTCGCCCAAATTCCGTGTCATGTACATCAACTTTATCACCTTAGGGTGGGACACCTACCTCTCCTACCTCAAACACAGAGTAAGTAGGCCACACAGGAGTTTAAAGGCACATTTTGCTCAATGTTTCAGAGAGAATTTTTATTTCTTTGCTTAAATTTTTTTTCTATCACTGTGTATTTATTACTGTGCTTATGTAATGTAAAGCATATCAAATGATGAAAGTGGGTGATATAGCTCTTGTCAAGGGGTTTCTGTTGTGTCGACAGGATGGCAGCCAGCACGCTGACCTGGTGTCAGACAGCAGTGCCGTGGAGGGACATCAGGAAGTGCTCCCTCCATCCAGAACTCTGGAGGAGAAATCGTAGGGATGGAGTTGATGCTCACTAGCAAAAGAAAGTTCCAGTGTTCTTATCTCTTCTATTTTTTTGTCCTCCTTTGCAAAAATGCCGAGAGGCAGTTTTTTTTCCCCTCCTACAACCAACTGCTTCTCTGTCATGTTTAAACTGAGCATGCAGTTCTTCCTGAACACAGGAGGAGGAGTTTATTTTTAAGGTGAAGTGCTATAACACTTGTCCCTACAGTTTAACTGTATCCAAGTCCAGTTTGTCTGTGAATTTGCAGTGTACTTCTGCTGCAGGAGAAGTTGGGGATGAAAAGCTGTTTGACTGCCCATGATTACTGTACTTAAATCCAGTTTGCTGTGGGCGGTTGTAGTTGGCAACTTGTGGCTGCAACTGGCAATAGATTTCCAGAATTTTCAACCAAGCATCATCTGTGCTGTGTTGTACCCAAAGCTTTGAAAACTACAATGGTATTTTATTCATTTGGTGCTGTTTTTTCTGGTCTGACAGGGATCAGTCATTATTGATATAAAATGGCTAAACAGCTGCTTTGTTTTTAAAGCCAACCTACATTAACCTGTGTAGGCTTTGCCTTAATGTGTAGCCAACTAATATAATTTATACCTGGTCTTTAGTTTATCCCTTATAAATAAGGCAGAACAGTGAATCTTTGAAGTGATTGTTCTTGACTGTAAGAGTTTTCATATTTTATATAGCGAATACTCAAATATACAAACAAACGTGATTCCTGATAAACTGAGGAAGTGAAATCAATTTATTTGCAAATTTTACAGTTGTTTTTACACTAGTCCCTGAACATTTAACCTAATATACTGTATGTCTCCAGCAGCTAATTTGTAAATGAGAAACTTTTACTTCTGGCAGGTCAGAAGATGAATCAGTTTATGTGATGACAGAAAAAAGCTGCATAAATGGTGTAAATACATTATGTACATACGTGTGCCTTTGTATTACATTATATTACATTATGGAGTTTTTTTTTAAATACTGATTAAATGTATGTTTTGGTTTTATCACTTTAAGAGCATAGACATCAATAAGAAAAAGAAATTGTGAATTTTACCAAATATAATTACATTTTATCTCTTTTCTAAGTGTATGATGACTTTTTTGTAGAATCTTGTATCATAATTATACATTTTGTTTGATCAACGTAACAGTAATAGTCTTCAAAGTTTGGACAAAAAAATAAAGACATTATAGTACCTCTTCATTTTTATGGAAACAACTTTAAGTACTTAGTAATTTAAGTAATTTAAACATGAAGGCTGTTTTAAGTTACGACTCAACTAAGAATTTGGGCAAAAATCCTCCCACGAATCAGTTTTTTTTAAAACTCTAAAATACATTTCTGATATGCTTATTTGTACAATTATTAATTTTTACTTTGAGGTTCAGTTATTTGCACTTTATTGATCCTCATGACATCTCTCTAATATTAGTAGTTTATATTTTTCACATCCTTCAGCTTCAGGCAAGGTTTTAGACTCAAAGAGCTTGTTGTAGTGTGTGTCATACAACCTTAGTGTCATTATTTAGGTACAATAAAACATTTTTTCATTTCAAGATTATGTTAAAGAACAAAAGTAATAAGAAATTTAAAAACATGCAAAATTTGGTAAAACTGACTGAACAGGTGCAATTGCAAGATATGAAGAAGCAAATGTTTCTGTTTGAACAGAAAGTGAAACTTGTGTTATGTGCAACAGGAAAGATCTTCAGTATTAACACCACCAAAGTAAAAGTTTCCACTCTGGGGTAACCTGGATCACTATATGTTACTCTGATATAAAATCAAGAAAGCTCATATAAATGTCACTTTAATGTGTTTGAATAACAACAGCAGGGATGGAGCTATGAGCAAATACAGAGGCTTGTTCAAATATTGGCTAATCAGTTTAAAGGATGTAATATGTACCAACCCAAGGTTTAGTCAGGCGTTCAGCATATCCTGCCCTCAAGGATGTAGTCTGCGTGTATGTGTATGTGTGTTGCCATTATGACCGCCAGTCTTTCATTTCTCAACATGGCTGCAGTGATGCACCTCACTTTACTAGTGTCCCTGTTTGCAGTTACAGGCTGTACAGGTAAGTCTACATTTCATATCTTTAACTTATTAAACTGATAATAGGTTGAGAACTGGCTCAGTCATATAACGATGTAAAGTTACAGAAACAGGAAACTTTGTACAGTGAAAGGAAGTTTGTCTGAAGTGGTTTGGTTGCAGGTTTTTTTCTCAGTATTCAAGAATATGCTGCATTTAGTACATTACCTATGCCTAAAATACAAATATTTGAGTCCAGGGTAGCAATAAAACATTCAGATTTGTAGCCAATGGTAGAGGAAATGCAATCTTTACTTCAGTAAAAGTAGCAAAACTACAGTGTAAAAATACTGTTAAAAGTAAAAGTATTACAAATAAGATGAGACTTAAGTAAAAGTACAAAAGTATTTGCCCCAAAATATACCCAAAGTGCCAAAAGTAAAGGTGCTCATTATGCAGAGTAGCACATTTCACATTAATGTACATCATATTATTGAATTAGCATCGATGATTATTGTGTACATCACTTCATCAATCATGAAGCTTGCTGACTCTGAATTAAATTTTGTTGACGGTAAGGCCTCAAACATGCAACCTCGACTGATCGGCTGATACCGTCTCAGGGTTTTTCAAAGATTATGTACCAAGTATATATTTTTTGAAAAATAGGGCGCTTAGCTTTATGACTCAAATGTGATACATGAGAGGGAAAAACTGGGGTAAGTCCAAGTGTAATACTGTGTATGTAGCCTACATGCTTTGTCATCAGCTGAAGCTAGCCTAAAGTGGATGTGTGCCCACAATTATCTCCTTGTTGTATAACACTCATTCCCTGTGCCTCTGTTGTAAACAGCTTTTTAAAAATCTCAGATGTGAATTCTGTCATTAAGATAGTTTTTTTTTTTTTTGTAGTCACCATCACTCCATCTGCAGGTACACAGGAACCACAGTTAACCACAGATGCTAGTTTGGCTGTGTTTGATGATAATCCATCCACTGTGCAACCCACCAACAGCACAACACAGCACCCAGATACAACACACAAGAGTAGCACTGCAGCCACTTCAGAAAAAGTATCATCGTCACTATCGCCCTTAACTTCCCAACAAACACCTAATGGGACAGTGGAGACACATCCCAGCATCCTTCCTGAGACTACAATGACCAACCAGATGATCAACCAGACGAGCAACCAGACGATCAACCAGATGACCGACCAGAATACGGACCAGATGACGGACCAGACGACCAACCAGACGACTGACCAGATAATCAACCAGATGATCAACCAGATGACCAACCAGACGATCAACCAGATGACCGACCAGAAGACGGACCAAAATATGGACCAGATAATCAACCAGACAACCGACCAGATGACCGACCAGAATACGGACCAGACGACCGATGAGATGACCGAGCAGATAATCAACCAGACGCCCGACCAGATGATGGACCAGATGACCGACCAGACAACCGACCAGATGACGGACCAGACGACCAACCAGACGACTGACCAGACAACTATCCAGTTGACCAACCAGATGTTCGATGAGAAAAGCACTTTCACATTTACAGACCCACCACCAGACATCACAGGAGCCAGCAACCAAAATGCATCCCACCCAGGTCAGGATACTGTCATGGTTTGGGGGTTTATTGTTTATTCTGAATCAGAGACCAATGATAAAATCTGCAGAAAGATGAGAAAATGTAAACAAACTGCAATCCTTTCACATAGTTCTTCTACCACTTGCTATCATATTGTAGGTCCATATATTAACCAGCCTAGAGTACTGTCCAGCTTAAAGTTTTGTTGGGGACCCAGTTGTGTATTTTGTATAGGCCAGTCTGACATCACCCCATGAGGTGGCTTATGTGGACTGCATAGTTTTGCATTGTTTGTCAGTCACCGAATCCTTCCATTTCTTGCTCCATTCAGTTTAGGTACCTGACTATATAATTAAACTTTTAGCTATAGTCTTAATCTGTTGCCCTTTTTCACATTTTGTCAGTACACTTGGGTTTTCCAGCTTGTAGCGTCAAACTTCTGGTACAGTAATACCAAAGTGTAAGCTACATGTGGTCAAAAAACTACAAGTACTTGTTTGTAAAAGTGTGTAAACACTCCCACTCCTGTGATTGAAACCTAGCAAAACAAAACAAAAACATTTAAAAAAGAGACCAGAGATACTGGTAAAGTGAACTGACACGAAAATAGATTTATGAAGCCACAGACTAGTACGTAGCCAAAGTGACTAGTTTAGTTAGCAGCAAAATGATCTCAGGAAACAAAATTTTAAATCACCAATGACAAAATGTCTGTAATTTTAAAAAAGATGCCTACTGATATTACTCCAACAAGTACATTTAGAGAGTAGATAAAACATGTCTATTAATATTTGCTTTATACCAGCACTGACAAAATGGCAGATCGTCAATTACTGTAACTGCAAATGTGTTGAACTGGGGTGAACTGCTAGTAGCAGAATAGTACACAGATTTATAAAAAGTATTATTATAATGTTTGTAACTTTCAATTTTATTATATATTATGTGTCTTCACTAGACAATCTAGACTTCTATAAATGTATTTTATCCAGTTTGCTGAATAGCAAGGAGGGTAAATTTTTGTTTGTCTCACCCTCAGTTTTTTCACAAGAAACTGAGGAACGTAATGTGGAATCAAGCCCTGGCCTTGCGGCCATCCTCTGTATCTTCTCTATCATCCTTGTCCTTGTGGTGGTGGTTGCCACACTGAAATGCATTAAATCACCGAGGTCCAACTTTGAGAGGCTTGAAGATTTGCCAATGGTGAGTTAGAAAAACTGTTGTTGAAAATTTTTGTAAATTTATTTCAGTCCTTGCCAAATTGGGTACATATCACATTTGGACAAGATCGTTAAAGGTTATTCGTTTGTTTTTTGTCATGCCAGCAACTAGCAGATGGAAATATTTCACTTCACAGCAAATGCCATAAAATTTTGAGCTGACACTCATGGTTCCCTTAACTTTTTATCTAATGCCATCATCAGGTCAAAACTTCAATTTATCCAGTGTTACTTTGTGTTAATGTTAGCATCCAAACACTAGTATACTAAGATGATGAACATCATAAGCTTTGTACCCAAGACATTTTTATCATTATTACAGCTTCACAGAGTTGCTGCCCTGATTGTAGATGCTTAGTCCTGTTTGTTATTCAGTGCCATTTTCCTAAACCTGTTTGACATGACATAAACACACTGTGTACTGAGTGCTGTTGTGTAGCCACAGAGGGGAGGCTGCATTGTGCACATGTCAAAATGTAACCAATTAAATGAGACATGCACAAATCAGGTTGAAAGCAAAATGGAAGGCACCAAATAAAATGTATGAAGAGCAGGAACCAAGAATAATACACAAGAATATACTGAGGTACCTCTTGGTGTGTGCAGTTTGCCTGGTATTTTCACCAGCAGAGGGCAATGATTGCTGGTGATTATGTAGAATATTAAACTGCAAACAAGGTGCGTCTCTGGCTGCACTACAGAATCTTGCTCCACAGGGAACTGGACTGTGAAACCTGGCAGTGTAAGGGCTGGTATTTAAAATGTTTTCGACTGCCATGTGTCATTACTTCGTTGGTCTGTTGCTGTCTCATTGCTGCCACACACATGCTGACTGAATTGTCAGTGTGTGAAAATGTCTCAAGAACATGACAGTGTGTGGTGAGCATGTAGTGACTAAATACTTCTTCAGAAAGAAAAGCTTATGATTAGCATTGTCTCAGCATGCCAGCAGCTAACCTATTCAGACATTTGGCATGCTGGAGTCTTGGGTTAATAAGTGACAGGACTACACTCTATGCTGTATTTTTGTGTACTGTATTTTACAAAACAACTGTGAACATATTGTAAGGGCTATCGTAGTGAATATATATTTTTTTTCCTGCCTGTGGAGATTTCAGACAGAACCAAACACATCTTCACACTGTACTGAGTTTTAACATTCACCACATAACATTTTTATGGAACTAGGTTTTAGTTGATATTCCTTCAGTGGCCCTGCATGAAACACAACATTTCATACAACATATTGAATTAACAATACTCAAAACACACTTGCATTTCACACAGTGAAAAAGGTACTGTGGGGACAACAATTTGAATTTGTGAATTGGACACGAGCCAAGTCAGTTCAGAGTTCTTGGAAAATCAAAGTTCAGTCAGGATTATTATATAACACCCCTATTTACAACGACTGGTATCGATTGGGCCAGTCAGTTACATCTTTGTCCCAACACTTTTACAAGGTCATACAAGCATACTGAGAATATTTTGCATGTCCTTTGTTGAAGTATCCCACTGTTATTTCAGTATCTTTTTCCATCCTTTGAAACTTTGCTTAAAATTTATACAATAACACTGCAGAGGAGTCACAAAGCTTAACATAAACCTGAAGACAGGAAATGGTGCTGATCTTCTTAAGACTAGCCCAGTCACTTTTGACAGTTAGCCTTTTAGTACATTTCTGGGAACAGACTTTGATTTTTGTTTTCTCTTGTCTCGGCTTCTGTACAGTCAAAAACCAGAACTTTTCTATTTTGTGAAATCCTGCTGTTTTTATTGTATCAACTACTAAAATTCAGCACAAGATGGGGTACACCCAACCTACTTGTTATCCTAAATATTACTATCAATTTTTTTTTATATCCAAATACACTCCTAATGTAAAGGAGCACACAACTTTGCAGACTCCTTGAGCCTTATTGCTGAATCACCTTTATGTTGAGATCAGTTGGTTTGTATCACCAGACATCTGCTTTGCAGACTGTATTATGAATTAATTTGTTTGTTTGACTCTCTTTGTTGTTTATATATATCACTTCAGGGCACTGTAAACGAGGTGTCTCCATTTGCCCAGTACGCAAAATAACAGACCAGACATTGTCACACACCGAAGTCCAGGAGGAGGAGTCCAGAAATGTCATCCACGCCAGCAGTGATTCCACTTCTACACAACTCTCTGTCCTGCTCTTTACAAAACACTTTTGTCAGTGACAGTAAATATATTTCCTGGTCAGCTTTGACCTTTGACCTGTTTATTTGGTGGCTTGTGACTCTGCTGCTCTGAAGCTTAATCAGAAAGGGAATCAGCCTAAAAGGTACAAATGTAACGTTTACCAAGTTGGTGATGTCTATCCTCATAAGCACTTACAATTCATTATTGTATTTTTACATTTAACAACTGTGGTTGTAAGAATGAAATGTATTCCTTGATGATTTTTGGATATGCACATTTACTTAGATGTATACTTTGTGTTATCAGGAAGATGTATTTACAGTTGTGAAAGTGTACTTAAAATTTATGTTATCTGAATGTGCAAATACAGTACCACAGTGTAAAAATACTCAGTTACAAATAAAAAGTCCTGTATTCAAAATGTTGCTCAAATAAAACTACAAAAGTATTATCATCAAAACTACTTAAAGTTCTAAAAGTACTCATTCTGCTGAATAGCACAGTGCACACATTGTGTATCATATTATTGGACTATAATTATTGATGTATTATTGTGCACATCACTTTTAATGTTGCAACTGGTAAAGGTGGAGTTAATGTTAACGATTTGATATACTTAGAATTTGAAGTATTTTATATATTGCTAGGTTTATTGGTTTATTAGTTCATATGATACCCCTTTAGCTTCTAGGTAAGGAAGCCAGTCTTCCTGGGGTCCAGGTAAAACACATCACAACACAAATTACAAAAATAAATGAAAACATCAACATCACAATTAAAGCATTCATTCAGTACCCAAATCAAAATACAAACAAACAAACTGTAATACCTTTTACATTTATACAAATAATTTTGATTGATTGATTTGATTGATTTTATTCTTTCAAACATGCAGAACAGAACAAATGAACAAATGACAACAACACACATAATTACACATATCCAACCAATGCTAATCCAGAATCAGTTTGCTTACACCTATTACATGTTTGAATGGAGTAGGAAGAAGTCAGACTTATCCAGTCCTACCCCATGACATCATATTATACAAAATTTCATGCATCATCAGCTGCAAGCAGTATCTCTACATAGATAAAACAGAGTGTTTCCTCAATGCCTTCTCGAATACATTCATAAAAATAAACAAAATAACAGACAGCTGGGTAGCTCATAAGTCAGGGATCAATAAAATCTTATAATTATACTGTGTTTTGTTATAGGAACTAAAGTTATCAAATAAATGCAAAGAATAAAAAGTACAATATTTTTCTCTAAAATGTTGAAGCATGAAATAGCAGAAAATGAAAATAATGCAAATATAACTCAAAATTGCACTTATGTACAGTACTTGAGTAAATGTACTTACTTTCCAACTCTCGTTTTATGCATAGAAATATAACTGTAATTGGAATGTACAAGTGCTTGTGAAGTGTAATTTGTGGCATGTTATTTATTGCCATATATGATGTATAATGCTAGAAATAATGCCAACAAAGTACAGGTACATTTATAGCTTGTTACCTTGCAAATTGAAACAGATTTGACTCCTCAATCCTGACTACTATAATCATGGTCAACAGATAATCTCCTCATTTTTGTAATAAACTATTGCCCAGAAACCGGACAAATTGTGGCACTTTCCCACATTTTAATTACGGTTCAAAGACAAAATCGCTTTCACTCTGTACATCTCCTCACATATAATGTTGGCACATGTACAGTAATCCTCTGTGCAGCAAAACTGCTCTCTGCCATTACTTTTAATTATATTAACATCCATCATACAGCTCCATCTAGTAATGGCAGAGACATGCAGACGTCTTCCAGTCAACAAAGAAATTGTCAAAAAACCTTCATGCTATTAAAAAAGCAATGTGTTTATGCTCAGAGATTGCAATAAAATCTGGGTGGTTATACATGTCAGACAGATATGAAGTACATAACTGTGATGTTGTAGTAAAATAAAATGGATATGCTTTTAGATTTCTTGTATTGGTTGTTGTGACTCACATTGATATTATGCACCCAACACTCCTCCCAAACCTGCTCTGTTGTCTTATCAACTGCACTTTAGCATGCCAAGTTTCTCCAGATAGATGGGTCCAACTCCAGAGATAAAGTGTGTTGTCTGTAGGGTTTGATGGTGATGATTACCCAAAAAGGCCAGAGTTGGGCCCCTGTGGCCAAGCTGAATGTGTGTCTGGATGAGTGTGGTCTTTTTTTTAATCAGGGAAATGAGTGTAACCTCACTAGTGATACACTGTCAGTGGAGAAGGTAAAGGTCTGATGTATCGGCCCATTCACATGGAAGAAAGGTTTGTTGTTGTTTTTTTTTAATAACATGTACACAACTGTTGATTCTGGTGAACCAACTTCTTTACCTTTGATATTTCTCAAATAGATTTTTACATTTCTTTAGTCTGGTTATTTTTTGCTTGCATGGTGACCACAGGCATTTCTAACTTTGTGTAAATGGCAGCTCTCCGTCAAATCTCATCCATATGTCAGGACTTTTATACATGAACTGTAGTTTGAAACAACACATAAGTACAGTGCCTTGCGAAAGTATTCGGCCCCCTTGAACTTTGCGACCTTTTGCCACATTTCAGGCTTCAAACATAAAGATATAAAACTGTAATTTTTTGTGAAGAATCAACAACAAGTGGGACACAATCATGAAGTGGAACGAAATCTATTGGATATTTCAAACTTTTTTAACAAATAAAAAACTGAAAAATTGGGCGTGCAAAATTATTCAGCCCCTTTACTTTCAGTGCAGCAAACTCTCTCCAGAAGTTCAGTGAGGATCTCTGAATGATCCAATGTTGACCTAAATGACTAATGATGATAAATAGAATCCACCTGTGTGTAATCAAGTCTCCGTATAAATGCACCTGCACTGTGATAGTCTCAGAGGTCTGTTTAAAGTGCAGGGAGCATCATGAAGAACAAGGAACACACCAGGCAGGTCCGAGATACTGTTGTGGAGATGTTTAAAGCTGGATTTGGATACAAAAAGATTTCCCAAACTTTAAACATCCCAAGGAGCACTGTGCAAGCAATAATATTGAAATGGAAGGAGTATCAGACCACTGCAAATCTACCAAGACCTGACCGTCCCTCTAAACTTTCAGCTCATACAAGGAGAAGACTGATCAGAGAGGCAGCCAAGAGGCCCATGATCACTCTGAATGAACTGCAGAGATCTACAGCTGAGGTGGGAGACTCTGTCCATAGGACAACAATCAGTCGTATACTGCACAAATCTGGCCCTTATGGAAGAGTGGCAAGAAGAAAGCCATTTCTTAAAGATATCCATAAAAAGTGTCATTTAAAGTTTGCCACAAGCCACCTGGAAGACACACCAAACATGTGGAAGAAGGTGCTCTGGTCAGATGAAACCAAAATCGAACTTTTTGGCAACAATGCAAAACGTTATGTTTGGCGTAAAAGCAACACAGCTCATCACCCTGAACACACCATCCCCACTGTCAAACATGGTGGTGGCAGCATCATGGTTTGGGCCTGCTTTTCTTCAGCAGGGACAGGGAAGATGGTTAAAATTGATGGGAAGATGGATGGAGCCAAATACAGGAACATTCTGGAAGGAAACCTGATGGAGTCTGCAAAAGACCTGAGACTGGGACGGAGATTTGTCTTCCAACAAGACAATGATCCAAAACATAAAGCAAAATCTACAATGGAATGGTTCACAAATAAACATATCCAGGTGTTAGAATGGCCAAGTCAAAGTCCAGACCTGAATCCAATCGAGAATCTGTGGAAAGAACTGAAAACTGCTGTTCACAAACGCTCTCCATCCAACCTCACTGAGCTCGAGCTGTTTTGCAAGGAGGAATGGGCAAAAATTTCAGTCTCTCGATGTGCAAAACTGATAGACATACCCCAAGCGACTTACAGCTGTAATCGCAGCAAAAGGTGGCGCTACAAAGTATTAACTTAAGGGGGCTGAATAATTTTGCACGCCCAATTTTTCAGTTTTTTATTTGTTAAAAAAGTTTGAAATATCCAATAAATTTCGTTCCACTTCATGATTGTGTCCCACTTGTTGTTGATTCTTCACAAAAAATTACAGTTTTATATCTTTATGTTTGAAGCCTGAAATGTGGCAAAAGGTCGCAAAGTTCAAGGGGGCCGAATACTTTCGCAAGGCACTGTAAGTGTCCAATTACTTTTTTTTCCTTTGGGAACTGTATTAATAGGCCTTTTAATAGGCCTATTGATTTAAACCTCCTCACATTACATCTCAGACACTTTAATGTACCATTTTTATTTCAGATTGAATGTGCAGAAGCACAGAGACTATAAAAAACTGTGTAGCTGTTCAAATACTACAGACTGGACTGTAAAGGGAGTCACCAGGTAGGAGTCCAAAAGGAACAGTCAAAAAGGGGCAAGAAACATGAGTAACTAAGAAAAAACATGCAGGGAAATAAACAGACATGAGTAGGCCAACAGATAAGACCGCCCGACCTAGATAACAGATAAGAGCATGATGTGTGTTATATAGCCTATAGGCTATATAAACCAGAGATAAAATAAATAAAATGACATGGTATTAAAATAAAGTATTAGAGTAAAATTAAATAGCCCAAAGGAAAAGAGAAAAAACAATAAATCAAGTTGTTTAGTTAAATCCCAGAGCTACGCTTCCTGTCATGTGATCCGGCCGTCGACGTAACAGTGACGGCTGGGTACGCCGCGAAGCATGTTGCCGAGTATGAAGTCTAACAAACTAACTTGCTACAAAAGAAATGAAAAACTGCGATAACAACAGTGTTACCTGACACGCACATTCAGCTCTTCAGCGGAATTGTCCTGCTAAGAAAACTCGCGAAGACGTCCGGACGCTGAGGTGAGTGAAAATGTGTCCTAAAATTTCCCTCTTGACTTTAAAACAGATGCGCTCAGAGAGTCAGGTGATGAATGCATGTATTGTAACTACTACTAAGTTCCCAGTGTAAAGGTGAGCAACTTGAGGGGCAGACGGTTTGCTCATGGGAAAAGACAATTCTAAAAAAATCACAGATTTCACTATAGTAGTCTTGTACTATTCCTATCGAAGGACATAAAGCTTATTTGTGATGCTCAATGGTGATTTTGGACTTTTATAAACCTAATTAATGTAATATCTAATGGCTGTGTGTTTCTGTCACTTTACAGCCAATTTTTATATCCCTACAATATTTCTGTAACCTAAAAACACAATACATTTCTATGGAAGTTCGTCATACTCTTTGTGTCATGGTAATACTCATACACGGACTCGCCTTGCTATAATAT